TCCATCATCCCCTTCTCCATTCAGCAAAAGGGTTTCATAACCACTTTTGAGTCTTACAAGGGAGTCCCCAACGTGATAGGATAAACTTCCGATTGACATCGTGTGACCAATTTTAAACGAAACAAGAAGATAATCAAGAAGACATCGACAGAGGATTGTTACTTTAAGCGGAAAACGGAACAAATTCAACAAACAAATTTGCAACTACTCAGCGGCATATTCAGTTATTCTGTTGATCAACTAGTTAAACTTCAATAAACAATCCAACGACACAAACAACGAACCTCTGAAAAGAAAGTGAACCCATCGACTGAAACGAGTATCTTGAAGAAGGCAGCCAGTTATTGACCAGCAGAAGGAAGACCACCGAAGGATCTGGATAACTAGGATACTGTTTGAAGAGAACTCTGGAACTATTCGAAGAAAGCAGCTGCTTATTGACCAAAAGAAGGAAGACCACCAAAGGATTTGGATAAGTAGATTCTGTGAAAGAAGAAATTCCCAGTGTTAACTGATTTATTTATTTTAAGAAAACCATAAGCTTGCCCTGGTAAAGAGACCAGAGACCATAGTATTATTTGTTTCTTTTTCAGAGCAAAAGTTTGTTTAGGTATCGAAGGAGTGTCAAGTAAGGAAAACTAGGAAAATCAATCACAATCTACATGAGTTTACCATTCAGTACACCACCCTTTTAGGAACCAACCTTTTAATCGACCTTCAGGATCAACTTCAGCTTTCAATTAGAATTCGGAACTACAATGCCACTTGTAAACCAAAAGCCAATGGCCAACTCAAAATCCTTGCGGAACCTAGCCTCTTCTATGATGCAAATCATTTTATGACGTTTCATAAGCGATTTCTTGGACAAATTTTGTGGATGGAAGAATCAACAATGGCGTGTGGAACATCTGGATTGATTGATGAGGAAGAATGAACAACGGAACGGGTGACAATGTTAACCATTGAACAATTGGTGTGAATCGACAATGGAAATGAAGAACACGCACACAACACTGGATGTATACGAGGAATGTGAATGGTATTAACTTATTAATTCTGGCGGATGAAGATCAAAACCTGGTGGGAATCAAAATTTGTAAAAATCAAAGCCTCCTGGGCAAGAGGATAAACTGCATTCATCAACACTCACTTTAGAAGCCACACTCATTCAAACAGTATAAAACAAATCAACAAAACAATTTCAGTTCTCCTCAATTTATTGCATCAAGATCAAGATACTTTGGATTCAAGATATGGATTACTTACTGGAAACTTATCAACTAAGATCAAATATAACTGAAAACTTCAAAATTATCAAAATCTTGGCAAACAATTTGGACGATTTCAGCTACCTTTGGACGGAATTGGGCTTGGTTTCAAAATACTAGCGGCATGGATTTCGACTGAAGGATATTTAATATCAAACTTATATACATTTGTTTGAAGGACTATAACCTGAAGAAAGATTCCACAGTGGGAATATCAGTGTTTTCTGAGTCTGAGAATAATTAGTTAAATTGAAAGAGATAGTTAGACATACATAAGAATTAGAATACTTAGAGCCCTGACATTAGTAGTCAGAGGGTATTAAATAGTACACAGAAGAAATTACCATCAAGCTAGTAAAACAAAATTCAGCCTTATTCAACAAGAAGATACTCGGATTGGAAGAAGAATTCTCAAGAACTTTTGGATTTGGACGACTCACAATTTGAACTGAACAAAAATTCACCTTCAAGAAATTCAAACCCTGGAATCAACTTATCAAGCTCATGGTAAACTAAATTAAAAGAGAACCAAACAATTTTTTCAAATGTCTCATAATTATTTTGAAAAGTTGGGGGAGGAGCTCACATTCCTTTAAAATTCACTCATTTAAACCCTTCCTGCCTCCCCTAGTTCTGATATCCCCTCCATTAATCAGTAGAACACTTGCTTCAAGTCTACAAAATCCATAAAATAGCACAAATTAATCAGCTAAATCATCAACTTACAAAATAAAAACACCACTAGTAGACATAAATTTTTAAAGTTGGGGGAGGAAAATTCCATACTTCACTCACATTATTAATGTCCCCAATTTACCCCATCTCATTATACTTAAGTTTATTTTAGCCAAAAGACACCTTTACATACTTTTTATCTTATATCCAGGTTTTATTTTCATACTCTTGAAAAATTTCTATATCAGTTTCTTTAGGTTTCTTCATTATCTCAAAGTTTTATTTCTGGATTGAATTTCTATATTAGTTTTTTTATTATCTCAAAGTTTTATTTCTGGGTTGAATTTCTATATCAGTTTCTTATCATCTCAAAGTGTTTTCTGAATTGGAATACTATATAAGTTTTTTATTACCTCAAAGTCATTTCTGGATTGAAATTCTCTCGTAGTTTCTCTGTTAGCTAAATAGTCATTTCTGGATTGGATTTCTCTATCAGTTTTACTTATCACCTCAAACTATTCTCTGGACTGCATTTCCTTTCTTTTATCTCAAACTCTTTCTGGATTGATTTTCTTTAGTTTCCCTATTATCTGGGTTTAATTTTCCTCTTTCAATAAATCAATTTTCTCAATCACATACTTATCATCTTTATTTTTTCTTGAGTAAAGGTTGAACCCAGAAGTTGGGGAATGAATGATTTATACTTGACTCACATTTTCACTAACCTCACTTTCCCTTTTTTTTTACTACAATTTTCAGCCAAGAAACTGTGATCTTCATCTCTCTACTCAATTTCTCTTTATTCCATTCAATCACTTACTATTTAAAATCACTTACTCTTAGACTCACTGCAAAAACACAATCTCCTAAAAGGTTGAGGACAACCTCATAAGTTGGGGGAGGGGTGTAGCTTATCATCTTCCTTGATTTTTTTTCAAAGTTTCTTTTCATTTTTCATTCACCTTCTCCAATCAATCAGGATAGTAGTGAACAGATGGCGAAATGGGCATGAAGGAGCTCTAGTACTTTATAGGCTGATCGCGAATCAACTGTGAAGGCCTGGGATCATTTAGATCAGTAGCCACTTGGACCTTTATCTTTTTTGCTTGGATCATTGACTAAGACACCGGATGCAATCAGAAGTAGTTTGAAATGATCGGCACAAAGAAAACACCTACACACTCTATACTCTAATCGCCAATGAAGTCTGAAGACTGGGAGTCTTGAAGAAAGGATGTGAATCGGTCAAAGCCTATGGCTTTTGTTTGGATCAATGAAAAGCTCCAGAACATGATCTGTCAATCAAGTACAACCCACTCAAAGTTTTTTTCCAATGGACCAAGCAGCTCTGGGAGGGTATTGGCTTGATCGCGATTCAACTCCAAAGGCTAGGATTCTTTGGAATCAATAGCGACTAGGTCAACAATGGAAACGGCAAGCTTTTGGAGGGATCAACATAAATACCGTAGAAATCAATCAACTACTCGCAAATTGATGACGAGGATGTATCAAGAACAATGACTAAGACAACATGATAGGATTTACTTACTCGGATGGCCCAGCTTTATGGAAACAAGCAAACAGCTATATTAACCAACCGCGAATGAATTCGCGAAGGCCTGGGAGCACGGTAGACTGGACGCGACTAGAACAACAAAGGAGACTGATGAAGAGGCGGTGTGATGGAGGACTTTGGATACAATAGGATGGTGGCGACTTCCACTATCTCTAGGCTTGCTTCGACCGATGATCTCTCTCTAGGATGTTATGGGACTGCTTACTCATCAAGAATGATTTCAGAACCAATGAGTTTGAATTTAGAAAAGGAGGAAAACCAAAGACAAATTAAAAGAGAAGAGGTCGATCGAGTGAAGAAAAGAAGGAGGAGCAATGATGGAGAAGGAAAATGTTGGATGGAGTTGTATCCGTATTTATACCTGGAAATGGCTAAGAAGACACAATCAAACTCACCGGAGACAAACAAGAACTAGCAACAAATCTAGTTACGGACTAAGATCAGATAGGTATGGGTTCATGCGGGTTGTTTTGGAAGTTGAGACGCGGGGTCAATCTAGCAAAGATCAAAATTGGATCGGTTGAGGATTGTCGGAATTAAACGAGGAGGTTGGCCAAGGATGTTGACGACCCACGGCATCGGATGAATTGAAAATGACGGTATCTATGACAGATCCACTAGGGTTTTTAGAACAACAATTAGAAAAGCAATCTAACAATTAGGAAGAGACAAGCAACAAAGGATCAAGTTTAGCTTACCTTATGAGAAGGATCATAATCGGAGCTTGTGGCTGAATTGAAGTCAAGATTCAGCGTCAAGATCGGAGAAACGGAGTCGGTTGATTATTTCCAAGATCTAGTGGCTGGGGAATATTGGAGACGCATACATAGGCGCTGTCTAGAATCCAGGAACCATCAGCTAGCGGAGAATAGACTAGAAGAAAACAAAAGATAATACCTGTCAGATGGATTCACGGTGTGGCGGGTTGGTTGAGTCGTTATGGGAACCGAATGATGAGGCGTAATTGAAGCTAGGGACGGAACCAAAGCCAGGTGGCGGGGAAGATTGGATACGCCTACATGAGACATTGGCGGGTCGGTAAAGTCGTAAACAAAATCCAGATTTGGGGAAGTGACATTATCAAGGTTGATGTTAGAGGGATAAACAAGTCGGTCGAGGATCGTCGGACGAGCGAAGAGTCAAGAAGTTGAAGATGTCAGCTCTAAATAGTCTAATACAAGATGAATGAAAAATCAGGTAGTGCTTACTTAGATGGATCAACGGAGTGGCGGCCCGGTCGAGATTGAGCGGTGACGGAGTCCATCTGAGATTGAAGTAGCGGGCGAGTCGAACGAGACGGAGTTGGAAGCTGAGGACCCACGGAGAGAAGGATACAGACAGGCCAATCGGACCCTGTCACAGGGACAGATAGACAAAAAAACAATCTGATCCCAAACAACAAATGAGCCTAGACTGCAGACTCAAGTTCAAATTCCACCCAGTTCCAACACTGAAAACTGCACCCCAGCTACCGACCTGGCCACTTTTTGCTGAGGACTTGAAAGAAACCTAGAAAATCACTGGGTTTTGTTTCCTTAACTCTATAATACTCCACAACAAACCCTATACAAGTTACAACTCAAAAATTTCACAGTCACCCCAGGTTCAAATCCTCATCTGGCCCAGTTATCATCAACATGAAACAAAAGCACCCCAGTTTTTTGCTCTCCCAAGTAGCAAATCCATAAGGTGAAATAAACTCAAGCTCAAACAAAATCAACCTCATAATCTCATCTGGCACAAAAATTACTGCCCCTCCAAATTCAAAGTGTGCTGCTGCCAACGCTTATAAATTCAACATACAACTTTTTTATGAGTTTTTCTTACCACTCAAACCTATAAAAAAAAACAATTTTATCATAGTTGGATTGTAACTAGGCTCAAATCAATTCCACCCCTGGCCTCATCATTTCTTGGACAGAGCAAGTAAAACTCTGAAAGCAAATTAAACCCACAACATTTCTTCAACAATCAACTCAACAGATGGCTTAACTACTACTTAAAACACTTCAAGAATAAAAATCTCAGGTACACACAGTCAGACTTATCAAATTTTACTTGTAAAATTAGCTCCAAAACACAGTCAAAATCAGAATTGACTGGGGACAGCCAATAAGTTGGGGGAGGATGTGGTAAATAATACTGTGTTTCTACGCAGAAAATATAAAAATTTCTTATTATCTCTTTATACATTCAAGATATGGTAAAGATAACATTAGAAATGGATTTCTCAGGTAAAATTACCCCTAGTCACCCACTACAACTGACCCCATATCTCTCATAGTTTAGAAGTTACACGGATTTCAACCTATCACGGGATATCTTTTGGATTCTTTACTCTCAGTATGGCTTGTTTTGAATACTGTATGCATATTGAATATTGAATTCCTTTGTGTTGTATTGAATTCCTTTATTGGCACATATTGCATATTGAATTCCTTTGTAGGTGCACATGCATTCCTTTGTAGGAGGACCTTGTAGGCTAGCCAAATTCCCTCAAGGCAGTGCTCTCACCAGCCAATTTCCCTCACCTGCATGTATTAGACTAGCTAAATTCCCTCATTGGATCTTCAGGCCAGCTAAAATGCCTCAAAAGCCTGTACCCTGGGGCTAAAATCCCTCACATTTGTCTATATAAGGAGGCCTCTGCCTGCCAGTTGTTCCCCCCATCATCCCACCAGAGGACCAGATCAACTCAACCCACATTACAGATTATATACAAGTGACAGCCATAACAATACATTATATTGAAATACACACATAAAACTTTCATCATCATAACAAGTGCCAAGTGCCCATAACCTGCCTCACATACCATTACTGGTTGAAGCATAGCGCTCCCAGAGCTCCGCGCCTTGGTTTTAAAGCTTTGAACAACAGCTTCATCAATATAATCATCACTCATTTATAACTTCAGACCCTTATACACATCAATCGGAAGCTTCATCTTGAACTATCCTCTATCACAATAAATATAACTGCCAAGCTAAGCTTGGTGGTCTTGTTGTTCTGATAGCATAGAAGGGCAGAGCTTGCAACTCCATCATACCCTTCTCCATTCAGCAAAAGGGTTTTCATAATCACTTTTGAGTCTTACAGCGGATGATGGGGTTTTGTGTTAGTTTTTATGTTTCGGTTTGAGGTTGATGAGGTGAAGAAGGATGAGAAAAAAAAACATTACCCTTGCCTGCGCTGCCCGGAGGCGGCACCGTTTTCTTTGTTTTCGCCGGAAGCTTGAGCCTCGGGGTTCTAATCGGCGCCATGGAACTTCGCGACTCGCAAGTGGAGGAGACCCTTCGATACCAACAAGGTTGGTGAAACGGAATCGTCAAGGTTGGTCGGAATTGGAAACGACTGGGTTGGTTGATCGGAATCGTCGAGGTTGGGTTGATGGTCAACAAGGTCCTCAAAGTCGAACCCAAAAAGCGATTCCAAATGAGGTCAATGACGTCATTTGAAGGAATCGACCTGGCAGGCCAAAAACAAAAAAAAAAAAAAGTTCAAGTCGCAAGCGACCATCAATCGCACACCTCGACGGTCCGACCGCACACCTCAACCGCACAACTCAACAGAACACATTGACTGCACACCTTAACCTGACGATAGCACGATAGCTGTTGCAAAAAAAAACATGGCCTACAGACAAGGCCAGCTGACTTTTTTTTGCTGATTTTTTTTTTTGATGAATTTTTGCTGATTTTTTTTTTTTTTTTTTTTGATGAATTTTTGCTGATTTTTTTTTTTTTTTTTGATGAATTTTTGCTGTTTTTTTTTTTTGATAAATTTTGGCTGATTTTTTTTTGCTGATTATTTTTTTTTGCTTTTTTTTGCTGATTTATTTTTTGTTTCTGCCCTTTTTTCTGTTTAATTTTTTTTGCTGATTAATTTTTTCTGCTGTTTATGATCAATCCTGCAGACAATGTACCAGAATATTTCCAATAAAGGATGAGGATAAGAGATGGTAAGACAGTCTGGCATTGTAACTTATGTCAGGGAGGAGACTTTCTCAGCTATCGTAAGCACACTATGGGAAAACAACATCGGGAACGTATTCGTGAGCACAATGAGCAAACTGCAAGGGAAGCGCTGGAAAGAATTGAAGCAGAAAACAAACCAAGCCCCCCTCAGCCAGATGTACAAGATAACACTCCAGTTAGTGAGGAAAGCCAAGAGTCTTACAATCATCAAGCCGACCTTGATGTGATTGACCTTGCCGCAATGGGACCAGCCGCAAGGATTTTGGAAACAAACATCTTGACAGGTGTGAATTTGGATGACGATGTAATTCCAATGACCAAGATGTCCTCATCCCCCTCCACTGTTGCACTTGCACAGTCTGAGGGGCTAACAAGCTGGCCCCCCACTTGTCCTCTGCCTTTGCAGTTGGATGGGGGCCTTCATGCCCAGAGGTTTTGACCCATGCAAGACATGGGCTGGCCTCTGAGTCCAAGTGCTCCAGCTTTGCTGGTGTTGGGGGGCCATTTTTTCTTCTCACTTTTTTTGTAAAAAATTATTGTCTTTAGCTTTAAGTCATGTCTTTTTTTTCTATTTTTTGTTAGAAGGGCAAACCTTTGAGTTTTTTTGCATTTTACCCATTTGTAAGGGGAAACCCTTGATTTTTTTTTCTGTAAATCACTGACTTTAATATACTTGGATTACAATACCTCAAGATATTCAGTTTGATCATCCAAATCTTTTTACCATCCCTACCAGTCAATTCAAGAAAAGCTACCTCAAAATTGAAATGAATGGATTGAAACTCTCTGAAAATTGTGGTGATGCACTTTATGGTATTTCATTCTGATTTTATTTCTTCATATATTTAAGACAACACACATTAGCTTGAATTGCTGATTGTTCATCCTTCAATTTTTATAGAATATGATAGTGAAAAAAAGGAGAAGAAGACTAAATTGCCCAATCCTTGGCGTAAAAAGGCAGATGGAAAAATTATCCGACACATTCCAATCACCTTATATTCCGATGACACCTCCGGAAATGTCTCAAAGAAATTCAACAATCACATCTCCTTTTATTTTACCCTTTCTGGTCTTCCGCTACACATCTCCAATCAAAAGTTCAACTGTCACTTCTCATCCACCTCAAATAGAGCTACTGTGTTGAAAATTTTGCAGCCAATAGTTACTGAAATGAAGTAAGCTTTCTCAATACCCAACTTTATCCAGTTTCCCACTTTCACTAAACTTTTATCTCCATTTTCTCTTTTTTTCACTAATTTTTTTTTCTTCTTTTTTCAATCATATTTTATTTTATTTATAGTGAAATCACAAAAACCGGTTTCAATGCATTTGACTCAACTATCATGAAGGAGGTCCTGGTCACTGGAATTGTCTTATGCTTTTTGGGTGACTCCCCAATGCACGCTGAGATCACAAACACACCAAATCCTGGCACTTCATTAAATCCTTGCCGAATGTGTGATTCACATGCTGAAGGAATTAACATGAGGAATACTGTTGATTATGTGACAAAATTCTTGAGGATTAATCATGATGGATCTGAGGTAAGCTTCCATTTCTGTGGAGTTTTTGTTAATGTATCTGATTTTCTGCTCATCTTTTTGGGGAATTTCAGGCAACAGGAAATGAAAGGATTTGGAACGAAACACATGAAAGGACCTACGAAATATACTGTGCAGAAATAGAAGAAAGCCATGCCGAGTCCCTCCGAAAAAAACTCAAATATGGTATCACTGACTCACTCAACACCCGGTTTTTGGAAGAATCAAAGAAAAATCTTCAAATCAGAGAAAAGATGGAAAAATTGGAAGACAAAGAGCCACACAAATTGTTCAATTCAATTTTGGAGCTTGAAGGTTGGTCTACCTAGTGGCAGGGTTTTCTGTTCTCTTGTTTATGTGATTATTCACCTGAAAAAATATTCACATTCTTTGTATTTTTTAGGGTTTGATGGTGTTAAGGATACTCCAGTTGAGATCCTCCACGTTGCCTTCTTGGCTTCGTCAAGTATCTGGCCAGGGATATACTTGGAGGGAAGAAACTGAACCCCAATCAGAAAAAAGAACTTGCTGCACGGCTCGAATCATTCAACACTCAAGGCTTGAATATTCCACCCATCAATGGAAAATCATTTGTCAATCACATCAAAAGTCTAGTCGGAAAAGAATTCAAGATTCTGGTTCAAGCAGCACCTTTCATTTTTTTCCAATTCCTGGATCCTGAACGCAAAGCAATCTGGACGGCTCTCTGTCAACTTGTACCATTTATCTTTATCACCAAAATCGATAACATGGAAGAATATCTGACCCGTCTAAATATTTGCATCAAGAATTTCATTTATCATGCTATCAAAACCACAGCGCAGTGGGTCAACAAGCCAAAATTTCACCACCTCCTCCACCTCCCTGAATCAATACGTCGATTTGGACCAGCAACTCTTTTCGCCACTGAAAAGTTTGAATCATTCAATGGTGTCTTACGCAATGCATCAATCCACTCCAACAGACAAAGCCCAGGAAGAGATATTGCTATCACTTTTGATAATTATTACACACACAGATTTCTTCTCTCTGGAGGTTATATGTACAATCCTGAAACTGAAACCTATTGCAAAGCCTCTCAAGAAGTTCTCAATATCTTCCTGAAAAATGAAGTCATCCGCAAGTCCTTTGGTTACAACTACACTGCATCAAATCCAGCTCCTCCCCAACACTATCCATTTGCTCAAACCATTAAAGTCCTTCAAGACGACAAGCTCCCAGTACCACAACAATTGATTGAACATTGCTCAAGCACTAGAATCAGACAAGTTCGAAAGGTTCAAATTAAACAACACGAAATTTTGGAGAAAGGTGGTTTTGTTGTGGTAAGTCACTTGTGTTTTGTTTATAATTACTCTTCTAGTTTTATGGATTCCATCATTTATTGATCCATCACATATTTTCAGATTCAACAACATGGCTCAGAATCAATTGTTGGTTTGATTGAATCCTTGTGGGAATCTTATTCAACTGCAAGATCAAAGTTTTATATACATTTTAATTACTTCAAGCTTATGGGAATAAGTGAGCTCTATTCAATGAGGGAAATATGTCGGGAAAAGACCAAACAGTTCATTAATGTCAATGTGAGTTTTGGCGGTTATTTTCAGCTCTATTTTTTAGATAAAAAATAAATAAAGTTTTCCTTCTCTGTTTCTTTTACAGGAAGTCCAGGCTTGCATCAATGTTCAGCATAATTGTGACAAAGGAAAATGCTTAATCGACATGAGCAAACCTGTCACTGTTGAGCATCAAGAAACTGATATCAAAACTTCTCAAGTTTTGCACGCAGATGACAAACATTATGTGATCAACACAGCCTCATTTCACGATCCATTCCAACATCACCAAGTCTCTAGAACAAACTTACCACAGATTTCAGATCAAGATATGGCACAATGTGTTTTAGATGGCTTGAGAAATTGGGATAAACATAATTTTGTATTTGATCAAACCAATAAAGAGGAAGAAGAGAATATTGAGGGTACTGCTATTTAGTTTTAAACAATCAGATATTATATGTATCACTCTGAAGCTAAAGACATATTTTTAGATTTATTTTGATGAATGAAAGACACAGAAAGATGAAAAATATAGATTTTCTAGCTATCCAAAATTCAAAAAACACTATTCATCTTGACCTAATTTAATACAACTAGAGTATTTTTGCTCCCAATCTAGAGCTTTACAATCAGCATGCTTTCTCCAATTATTCAAACCGACAGGATATGGGAATGGGAAATTTAATGGATCCTTCAGTGTAAGTGCAACAAAGTGAGATGAATCAGGAATGAAAGCAATGAAAATTGGGGGGTTGTTGTTGGCGGGAGTGAAGTGTGGAAAAAAACCTTGAGACCCTGTTGTTGAGAAATAAAATACTGGAGTGCTGAAAGCATTGGCCAAAGGCTCTGCAGTCATTGGCATAGACATCCAATGCTCTTCACCAACCGGCGCAGCTGAGTTTGTTTTGATTCTAGCTAAAGTGTTTTCCCATTGTTTAGAATTTTCAAAGCATCCTATCTTGAGGTAAAAATCCTTTCGTTTGGTGATTTCATCGTCGAGTTGAGTTTGGATGTTCAAGAATGATCCTTCACCTTTTCCCAAGCAGAAAGCAGCAGCCCTGAACCCACAGTGACCATCTGCTTTCACATTTTCAACTTTTTCAACATGTGGCTGGATGAAATCTGGGAGATGTTCGAGGAGATTTGCAGTGCGGATTGGACGGAATTTCTTTTTGGGTGGCTGAGATGTTTGTTGTGGATTAAGAATGGTGATGCTTTGTGAGGAACTGCCTGTGAGCTGGGATAAAGTCCTGGAGGGAGGGGACGGATCTTCAAGTTTGCGCTTCTTGGAGGAAGCTTGGGGTTTGGGCTTGGCGCGTGACTTTGGATTTGTTTTGGGCTTCTTGATGTCGACAATAGCAGCTGATCCATCCAGTACCCGAGAAATTTGCTCCAGTTTGGTACTTTCTTCAATTGGGTTTAAGGAGGAGAGTTGAGCCTGCAAATCTTTCCTTTTCTGAGCCAATTCGTCCTCTCTGACTGAGAGATTAGGTGGTGGTTCCTGATGGGAAAAAAAAGAATGTCAATTGTCTTTTAATATGTGTTAAGGTGGGGGGGGGAGAAACTAGTTTTTTTTAACTTGTAAAAATAATTTGGGTGAGGGGTGGGGGAAATACTAATAAAAAAATTATTTTCAGGCTCAAAAGGAATGGGGTGAGGTGTGGGGAATGACTTTTTTTTTGTGGATATGTTTCAAAAAATTGGGTGAGATGTGGGGTGGGGGAAATCCAGATGGTCGATTTTTCGACCATCGACCGGATTTCGGGTCGTAATTTCGACCGTTGACCACTGATGGGTGGTGGAAGAGAAATCCAGATGGTCGATTTTTCGACCATCAACCGGATTTCGGGTCACAATTTCGACCGTTGACCACTGATGGGTGGTGGAAGAGAAATCCAGATGGTCGATTTTTCGACCATCGACCGGATTTTGGGTCACAATTTCGACCGTTGACCACCGATAGGGGCGTGGCAGGGCAATCCGGATGGTCGATTTTTCGACCATCGACCGGATTTCGGGTCCTAAATTCGACCGTTGACCACCGATAGGGGCGTGGCAGGGCAATCCGGATGGTCGATTTTTCGACCATCGACCGGATTTCGGGTCCTAAATTCGACCGTTGACCACTGATAGGGGCGTGGCAGGGCAATCCGGATGGTCGATTTTTCGACCATCGACCGGATTTCGGGTCCTAAATTCGACCGTTGACCACCAATAGGGGCGTGGCAGGGCAATCCGGATGGTCGATTTTTCGACCATCGACCGGATTTCGGGTCCTAAATTCGACCGTTGACCACCAATAGGGGCGTGGCAGGGCAATCCGGATGGTCGATTTTTCGACCATCGACCGGATTTCGGGTCCTAAATTCGACATTTGACCACCTTCCATCCAATAGTCAAGGCAAAAAGGAAGCCCCCCCCCCTCATAAAAAAAATCAAGAGATCCCAAGAAAGAAGGGAAAAGAACCTCAAGAAAAAAAAGAAAAGACCCTCAAGAAAAGAAGAGAGCCCAAAGAAAATGCAGAGTCCCAAGAAAAGAGAAGAAAGCCCCCAGGAAAAAAAAGAAAAGAGTCCCCCCAAGAAAAGAGACAAGAGAGAAAGAATTCCTACATGAAAAAAAGAGCCCCAGGAAAAAAAAAAGAGCCCCAGGAAAGAAAAAAAAAGAGCCCCAGGAAAGAAAAAAAAGAGCCCCAGGAAAGAAAAAAAAGAGCCCCAGGAAAGAAAAAAAAGAGCCCCAGGAAAGAAAAAAAAAGACCCACTTTGTAATGCCATTGGGGATCAAATTCCCCTGGCTGAACTTTCAGGTTGTTTTCGAAGATTGACTGGAGCCGATGACCACAGGGGATTCCAGTCCGTTTTCTGTGAGATTCGTTGCAAGGAGTGCCAAACCCTTCCTCGTTTCGGTTGTGGAAATTCAGTTGAGCCTTCCTGAGAGCCGCGTGAGAAATTTTACCGAGACAAGGTGAGAAGATGGTGTTTATTCTTTGGAGGGTTTTGACTTCTTTCTGTGAAAATTCGTTTCGGATGAGTTCTTCTTCTTTTTTGAGTACGGAAGAGAGGGATTCAATGGTTTCTGGGTAGTTGTTGGCCTTGCTGAAGAGGATAGATGTTAAATATTTGTGATGGACATGAATTTGAAGAGAGCGGTGGTCAAAGTGGGGTAGATTCTTAGTCCAAGGATTTGTAAAGAGTTCAATCAGGGGAATCCAAGTAGAATCTAGAAAATTAATAAATTCTGAAGGATAACCACATCTATATTTTATTTTTGAATGATAGAATTCATTTAATTGAGAGGGAGTAGGTTTTTTGATCAAAGTGGACCATGATTCAAGCATTTTGGATTCTAATTGGCTATTGTTTATAAGATTTTTGGCATTGATTTTAATATCGTGATAGATGTGGTTCGCGGAGAGAAGATGTTGGGTATTGGGAAAGATTTTTTCAAGATTATCAAGAAGATCTGGATTGTGGATAGTCAAGGATAAATGAGGAAGAGGAATTTGATAGGTGGTGAATAGAGAGTGAAGGTGTTTGAGAGACCAGGAAAATGATGCAGAAGAATTATCAGAAGTAAAAGAGAAAGCTATGGAAAAAGGTCGATTGTTCCCAGCCAGACCAGAAATGTGGAGAAGGGGCATGTTGTGCTTATTTTTGTTGTAAGTGGAATCTATAAAGAGTATTGAGGAATATTGAGAGAGAAGTTGAAGAGAAGAAGGATGGAAGAAAAAAAGAGCCTTGAGTTCTCCACTGGCTGTGAGGTTTTCTTCAAGGGTGAATTGAGATGTGGCGAGGGATTTTTTCAACTCAAGAATTGGAGAAGAAATTTTCGAAGCTTGACGATTGGCCTGTCTTTTGATTGCATAAATATTGGCTGGAACTATAGAGTGACCTGGGTGAGATTTGTTCAGTTGGAGAATGATATTTTTGGGTTGCAAACCCTGGCTGAGGAGATTTTGTATTTCTTCTGTGAGTTCAGATTCAAGTTGGCGAATTCCCCGAGCAGGAAGTTGATTGGAGTCAAAGGGGTGGTTGTGAGTTGATTTGACACAGGTGAATTTCCAGTGACCTTCGCTAGTTATAAATCTTGCAACGGCCAGAAAGGGACAGTCGATTAATTTGGAAGAGGATTGATTGGCTTGAGCTGGACGACCTCCTCTAAATTAAAGACAAAAAAAAAATATAGCCAAAAAATCACATTCAGAAAGATTGAAGTTGGGGAAAAAAGTGAAGTGATGGAGAAAAATAAAATACCTGGAGCATTTAAAAACTTTTCTAGTCTCATTAGTTGTCTTGAGAGAGATCATATAGCCATGATCACAAGCAAATTTCTTGACGGATTGAACCATTTCCTTTGGATCTTCAAACATCTGGTCCGGTGGAGCTGAGCCTGGGGGTCCAATCGGTTGATCTTGATGTTCTGATTCGGGGTTAGAGTCTTCATTATCACTACTGCAATCATCATCCTCATCACTATCTACAATCACATTCTTTTTAATTTTCTTTTCTTTTTCATGTTTTTTTTGGTTTTCTTTTTTATTTTCCACTTTTTTTGAATTTTTATCTACTTTTTTTTTAACAAGAACTTCAGAATCTTCAGAGGGGGGAGGGCTATCATTATTATCTACTATTCTAGTGTTATCATCTACAATTTGAGTGTTATCTACATTTGCTTTTTCTTCTTCTTTTGTTTCTTCTCTTTTTTCACTCATTTCAAGGAGGAGAGGATCAATATTAAGGTTCTGAGGCTTGCTAGAAGGACTAGACATGATAAATATGATGGATTTTTGGGATTTTTATGGGG